AACAGATCAAGACCCTGTCTCAAAAAAAAAAAAAAAAAAAAAATCACAGACCTAAAATAAGAGCTAAAACTATTAAATTCTTAGAAAATATCGGCCGGGCGTGGTGGCTCATGCCTGCAATCTTAGCACTTTGGGAGGCCGAGGCTGGTGGATCACCTGAGGTCAAGAGTTCAAGACCAGCCTGGCCATCATGGTGAAACCCCATCTTTAAAAAAAAAGAAAGAAAGAAAGAAAGAAAAGAAAATATCATAGGTAGCTGGGGACAGTGGTTCACACATGTAATCCCAGCACTTTGGGAGCTCGAGGCAGGAGGGTCATCTGACCCCAGAAGTTTGAGTCCAGCCTGCACAATACAGTGAGACCCCATCTCTACAAAAAAAATAAAAATAAATTAGCCCAGCATGGTGGTGCACCTGTGGTCCCAGCTACTACGCTCCCGGCTATTTGGGAGGCTGAGATGGGAGGATCACTTGAGTCTGGGAGGTCGAGGCTGCAGTGGGCTGTGATGGTGCCACTGCACTCCAGCCTGGGTGACAGAGTGAGACCCTCCTGCCCAAAAAAAGAAAAAAAGAACACAAAATATTTGCAAATCATGTTTCTGGTAAGGGACTTGTATTCAGAATATATTTTTAAAACTCTCACAACTCAATAAAAAAGACTGACAAACAAATTTTAAAATGTGGCCAGGCGTAGTGGTTCATGCCTACAATTCCTACACTTTGGGAGGCCAAGGCAGGTGGATCACTTGAGGCTAGAAGTTCAAGATCAGCCTGGTCAACATGGCAAAACCCCGTCTCTACTAAAAATACAAAAATTAGCCAGGTATGGCCGGGCATGGTGGCTCATGCCTGTAATCCCAGCACTTTGGGAGGCCAAGGCAGGCGGATCACCTGAGGTCGGGAGCTCGAGACCAGCCTGACCAACATGGAGAAGCCTTGTCTCTACCAAAAATACAAAATTAGCCAGGCGTAGTGGTACATGCCTGTAATTTCAGCTACTTAGGAGGCTGAGGCAGGAGAATCACTTGAATCCAGGAGGCAGAGGTTGCAGTGAGCCGAGATCATGCCACTGCACTCCAGCATGGGCAACAAGAGTGAAACTCCGTCTCAAAAAAAAAAAAAATTAGCCAGGTGTGGTGGCACAAGCCTGTTATCCCAGCTCCTCAGGAGGCTGAGATACAAAATCGCTTGAGCCCTGTGAGGCAGAGGTTGCAGTGGGCCAAGGTCATGCCCCTGCACTCCTGCATGGGTGACAGAGGGAGACTCTGTCTCAAACAAAAAAACAAACTAAAAATGGACAAAGGATTTGAATAGACATTTCTCCAAAACAGATATACAAATGGCCAACAAGCTGTGACAAGATGCTCATTAGTTATTAAGAAAATGCAAATCAAAACCATGAGATACCACTTCACATCCACTAGACGACTATAATGAAAAAAGACAACAGCAGGCCGTGGCGACAAAGCAGAGAAATGGGAATCCTCATGCATGGCTGATATGAATGCAAAATGGCGCAGCTACTCTGAAAACTAGTGTGGAAGTTCCTTAAAAAGTTAAAGACAGAGTTACCATGTGATCCAGCAATTCTGCTCCTGGGTATATATCCAAGAGAACTAGAACATATGTTCAGACAAAAACTTATGAGCCAATGTGCATAGCAGCATTATTCATAATAGCCAAAGTGGAAACATCCTAAATGTAAAACTGATGGATGAACAAAATGCAGCATATCTGTATAATGAAATATTACTCCACCAGAAAAAGAAACAAAGTACTAAGACATACTCTAATACAGATGAACCCTTAAAACGTGCTCAGTGAAAGAAAACACAAAATTCCACATTGTATGATTCTATTTATATAAAATGTCCAGAATAGGAAATCCTTAAGAGACAGAAAGTAGATTCGTGGTTATCAGGAGCTGGGAGGAAGGGGAAGGGAAAGGACTGCTAATGGATATGAGATTTAGTTTGGGGGTGATGAAAATGTTCAGAAATTAGTATTAATGGTTGCATAATCTGTGAACATACTAATAATTGAACTGTACTTTCTGTTTTTTTTGGAGACACAGTTTCACTCTGTTGCCCAGGCTGGAGTGCAGTGGCCCGATCTCATCTCACTGCATCCTCTACCTCCTGGGCTCAAGTGATTCGCGTGCCTCAGCCTCCTGAGTAGCTGGGATTACAGGTGCACGCCTCCACACCTGGCTAATTTTTGTATTATTAGTAGAGATGGGGTTTCACTATGTTGGCCAGGCTGGTCTCAAACTCCTGACCTCACGTGATCCGCCCACCTCAGCCTCCCAAAGTGCTGGGATTGCGGGCATCAGCCACCACACCTGGCCTGAATTGTGCACATCTTTAAATGGTAAATTTTCTCGCCTGGGCAACATGATGAGACCCCGTCTCCACTAAAAATACAAAAATATAGCCAGGTGTGGTGGTGCACACCTGTGGTCCCAGCTACACAGGAGGCTGAGGTGGGAGGATTGCTTGAGCCTTGAGGGCAGAAGCTACAGTGAGCTGAGCTCGCACCACTGCATTCCAGCCTGGGTGACAAAGTGAGACTCTGTCAAAAAAAAAAAAAAAATTAATGGTAAATTTTAAGGTATATCTATATTTTTAAAAATATTACTATCCGTATTTTTCAAATGTTAATCAAATTAAATAATATATAGATATTTAATATCTATATTTTTTTAAAGTGTTAATATATATATTTTAAATGTTAATTAAATATATAGAATAAATATAGTATGGAATAATATCTATCTATTTTTTAAGTTAATTAAAATTTTTTTTAAATACTGGCTACTGTAGTAGATGATCTTTCAGCTCTGACCCAAGATTCTTGTGTCTTCTACCAGGAACCTAGAAAGAGCTGCAGGCCAATTTCTTACAGGGCATTAATGTTATCATGAGAAACTTCTTTTATCTTTTTTTTTTTTTTTTAAAGAGACATGGTCTTGCTATGTTGCCTAGGCTGGTCCTGAACTCCTGGGCTCAAGTGATCCTTCTGCTTCAGGCTCCCAAAGTACTGGGATTATAGCCGTAAACATCGTACCCAGTCTGGAAATTTCTTTTAAAACCCTACTCCTGTGAGCACGGTGGCTCACACCTGTAATCCCACCACTTTGGGTGGCTGAGGTGGGCAGATCACCTGAAGTCGGGAGTTTGAGATCAGCCTGACCAACATGGAGAAACACCACCTCACTGAAAGTACAAAATTATCTGGGCGTGGTGGCACATGCCTGTAATCTCAGCTACGCAGCAGGCTGAGGCAGGAGAATCGCTTGAACCTGGGAGGTGGAGGTTGCAGCAAGCCAAGATCACGCCATTGCACTCCAGCCTGGGCTGGAGTGAAACGCTGTCTTAAAAAACAAAAACAAAACCCTACTCCTTCTCTAAAGCACAGCTCAAATCTTTTCTATGAGGCTGGTCCAAGTTTGGGCTGAAAGAAAGCACTATGGGGAGGGCTGCTGCTTTCTGCGAAGGGGACGAGACCAAATGTTCCCTTACCATGGTGAGCGACAGCATGGAAAAGCAAGCCCCAGGTGCTGGGCTCTGGAATGGGGTCTATGGAGAGAGGGGAGAGAGAGGTGGCAACGTTGTTCAGCATCTTACCTGCCCAGACCCCTGCAGGAGCCACATGTAGGGCTCCTCTGCCCGCTTCACTGTCAACAATAGGTTGGACCAGTCTGCCAAAATAGGGAAGGAGAACCAGCCCCAGTACACTCATCTATCAGGTGCAAGGAATCCCCCAACCTGCCCCTTTGATCGAATATGATTTGATTTATTGGATCAAAATGACTTACTATGCTCCAATACCATTTTCTTCTCTCTGTCAGACAAAACATAATAGGTCCATCTTTCATTTGGCGCGTTATTTCCACATCTTATAGGTTACATGATTTGGCACAAAGCAAAATACATGGGACCCGGGAGCAACTGAGCCTGGATTCCACTCGTAACTGACCACTCACTGGGTCTGTATACTTAGCTGAGGGACTTGACCTCAGATCCTTGGCAGCCTCAGCTCCAAGATAAGGGCATTACCACCACCCAGTTACCATAATAACTTAAAAAAAAACACATGAACGAAGTATGTAGCTCATTTCCTAGAGCATGCCTGACAGTTAAAATGTAGTAAACAGTGTAAAGGAAGAAAGTACAACTTGGCCAGAGATGACCACATGTGTAATTGGTTGGCAAGGGAACGTGGAGATCACAAAATTTTTGAAAAATGCCTGGCATGCTACAGGGGTTCCACAGAGGTCAGTTTCTCTCATCCTTCTTCCAAGATTGAGCTCCTGGAAGGCAAGGACTAGGCTGTTCATCTTTAAGCATGCCAAAGGGGGGACACAACATTTTGTATGTAGTAGATGCCCAAAAAAGCATCAGGGGGCGCTTCAATAGATCACACTTTCATTCTCCTTTCATCTGTATTTCAAATGCACTTACTACAAAATATAAGCACTTATACTGTTTTATAATTATTTCAGGTTTGTTGGTCTGGCCTCCCCAAAGAGACGGTAAGGTTCCTGGGGTCCAAAATGCGATTGCTTACATCCTACTCTCTAAGTCCTACTAACACATCCCACTGAGCAAATCGGCTCATTTCGAAGTCAAATAGGGCTCATTTTTTGGGCTGAAACCAATTGCTTCCTATTGCCAAAGGATCAGCAGCTGAGCCCTAACAAGGTCCCTTCCTAAAAAGCTGCCTCAACCCAAAATGCCAAGTAGGCTGACCAGCCATCCAGGTGCACAGGGATAAAGAGTGGGGCTAACCATCCGGGATGCCAGTTTAGCATTTCAGTGCTAAAAGTGGGAAACTCCAAGGCAAACTGATGCGCTGGTTACCACAGTCACCAATGAGTAACTGCACTATCATAGCTCTCAAACGTCTTTAAGAAACTGGGGAAATTAAGTTACCAGCAGGCTACTGAGTCATATGGGGAAGGCCTAGGGAGATAAGCAGCCTATCGTGAAGAATAAATACCTTAGAAACATCCAGCGGAAGATTGCCAACATACACCTCTGTCTCTCTTTTCTTGAATCCTAAGAAGAAAAACAGCATTAAATGGGACTTAGAACACATAATTCACTTTTCCTATTTCTTTCTTTTTTTGAGACAGAGTTTTGCTCTGTCACAAGGCTGGAGTACAGTGGTGTGATCATAGGTCACTGCAACCCTGACCACCCAACTCCACACAATCCTCCCACCTCAGCCTCCCAAGTAGCTGGGACTACAGGGACATGCCCCCATGCCTGAGTATTTTTTTTTTTGGTAGAGATAAGGTCTCTCTATGTTGCCCAGGCTGGTCTCAAATTCAGGGGCTCAAGCAATCCTCCTAGCTCAGTCTCCCAAAGTCCTCGGAAAAACCCCATCTCTACTAAAAATACAAAATTAGTCACGCATGGTGGCATGTGCCTATAATCTCAGCTACCTGGGATGCTGAGGTAGGAGAATCATTTGAACTCGGGAAGCGGAGACTGCAGTGAGCCGAGATCGTGCCACTGCACTCCAGCCTGGGCAACAAGAGCGAAACTCCATCTCAAAAAAAAATTAATAAAAAAATTTTTTTAAATATTACCGTGCACATACATGCCTACAAACATCCCCCCACCCCCATGAACACTGAATGGCTATACTGTACCCAATCACTCAGCAATACTTATCAATATTAAGGAGTGGTCCATGATAAGTGCTGGCTGTGCATATCCCTGCCTTCCTGGCAGGGGATCACTCTGCAGGGACAGAGAGCCATGGGCACACCAGGAATTCAGTGGTGAGTTATTAGGAAGTGAGGGAGTTATCAGGAAGTGTTTCGGGACCCATGGGGTTGTGCTTCCCCAAGTAAACATTAAGCTGACAGTGGGGAGCACGCAGGGGGCCAGAGGAATGCAGGAGGGAGGCTGAAGGGAATCCAAGCAGATGAACAGTCCATGCCAGGACATGGAGATACGAAAAAGCTCAGCAGATTTGGGAAACTGCTCATAGCCAGTGCTGGGTGCCAGGCGGATTGCACACTGCATGCAGCAAGTGGTGAGAGAGGAGGCTAGAAAGGCAGGTAAAGCCAAGCTATGAAATCATGGAAGGCTGTACTACAGGAGTCATAGTTTATTCCACTATCTGGGAGATGTGGGTGGGGGCTGTAACTGGTCAGGGAGTGTCAATAAACCTGGGTTTCAGAAAGATCACTTTGGAGATGGTAGGGGGCAAATTGGAATAAGGCACAAATGAAACAGAAGCACAGGGTCAGGAGTGGCAGGTGCACCAGAGAGTAAGGGTCTGCATCACAGCAGTGGCAGGGGCCACATCCTCCATGCGACAGGAAACATGGTGGCTGACTGGAAGAAGAGTAGAAGCTAAGCAGATCCCAAGTTTCACATTGAACAGAAACTGGGCAGATTGGGAACCATTAACTGGGATCCAGGTTATAGGATGAGAGTCCCAGCACCAGCGAATTGCCCAGCCTAACTTACCTGGAGATTTCTTCTCCTCCAATACTCCATTCTTCCCAGCCGGTTTAGCAGAGGGTTCAGAGTCACTGCTGTTACAGGACCTGTCAAAAACAGGTGTCAGCATCGAACGTCCCAAGCTCAGACTCCGACAAAAGGAAACACGTGCCAGGCATAAGCAGAGGGGCCTTGCATAAACCTCCATTCCTCTTCCTGACCAAGGGCTTCCCTTCCTCCTCCCAGAACCAGGCTCCAAGCCAAGAAGCCTGCCACTGGACCTTTTAAATCACTAACAGTTAAAGTATACTTAGGGTTAGGATTGACCAGCAAGAGATGCTAGGGTGACTCCTAAGCCCTGGGCATGCTGAGGCAGGAATGGGAGAAACAGAAGGCTAGGGGATGGAGTGAGGCTTGCTTATGAGCAAAGGGAAGGGACTTACATGCTGCAGTTGCTTTCCAACAGGATTTCCTGCAAAGCCAAAGGGCCACAGTTAGAGGAAAGCCAGGATAATCCACCACTATATAATCACTGAATAGGTAACACGGTAAGCAGAATAATGCCCCTCAAAAGTGGTACACATCCTAATCCCTAGAACCTATGAATATATTCGGTTTCATGGCAAGGTTGCAGATGGAGTTAAGGTTGTCCATAAACTGACAAAACAGGTCCGGCACGGTGACTCATGTCTGTAATCCCAACACTTCGGGAGACCAAGGTGGGTGGATCACCAGAGGTCAGGCGTTTGAGACCAGCTGGCCAACTTGGCCAAACCCCGTTTCTACTAAAAATACAAAAATTAGCTGGGCATGGTGACAGGCACCTGTAATCCCAGTTAGTCAGGAGGCTGAGGCAGGAGAATCGATTGAACTCAGGCGGCGGAGGCTGCAGTGAGCCGAGATTGGGCCACTGCACTCCAGCCTGGGCAACAGAGTGAGACAACGTCTCAAAAAAAAAAGAAGAGAGAGAGAGATGTGATAACAGAGGCAAAGTTAGAGTGATGTGATATGAGAAGAACTCGACTACTGTTGTTGGCTTTGAAGGTGGAGGAAGGGGCCACAAGCCAAGGAACGCTGGCAGCCTCTAGAAGCTGCAAAAGTCAGGAAAACGGATTCTCCAATTAAAGCCTCCAGAAGGAACACAACCCTGCTGAAACCTTGATTTTAGCCCACTAAGATGTGTGTCAAACTTGTGATTTACAGAGCTGTGGGATAATATATTTGTGTTAAGCCACTGAGGTTTTCGTCTTTTGTTATGAAAGCAAATAGAAAAGGAATACAGATAGCATGCGCAAACCACACACAGCTCTGCACAGTGGCTGGCCTGTGGAAAGAACAGTACTTTTCGAGTTTGATGCATCTGTGAGTCCACCCCAGAGACCTTGAGCAAATTTCATCTGTCCAGTCAGAATCAAAACACCCATGTCATAGATCATGGCAGTAAAGTGAGATACTGCACTTAAAGCACTTGTCATGTGTCAAGAACTCAATAAATGATAGCCATTGTGGTGTTTTTTTTTTTGTTTGTTTTGTTTTCTTAGATGAAGTTTCACTCTTGTTGTTCAGGCTGGAGTGCAGTAGAGCTCATTGCAACCACTGCCTCCTGGGTTCAAGTGATTCTCCTGCCTCAGCCTCCCGAGTAGATGGCATTATAGGCACCCACCACCATGCCTTGCTAATTTTTTGTGTTTTTAGTAGGGACGGGGTTTCACCACATTGGCCAGGCTGGTCTCAAACTCCTGACCTCAGGTGATCTGGCCTCCCAAAGTGCTGAGATCACAGGCATGGGCCACCACACCTAGCCATTGTGCTTATTTTTAAGACTTTCATTGGCACTTTCCTACAACTCCATGAGTATTATCTTCCCATTTTACAGATGAGAAAATGAAGCTCAAGGATATCAGGTGATTTTATAAAATTATAAAAGATACTGAGATAACTCAGTCCTGTGATTCTAAAGCTTTGGTCCTCTTTCTATAGATAACAAAGCTATCAAAGACATTTTAAAGGGATTTTTTTTCCCTGTACTTTAGGGAAAACATAAGACAGTAAATTTTAAAATAAAACAGTAACTTTCTCTAAATTATGCCCAGCTGTAGGAGGGAACAACAATTTTAGCTGCAACCAATTCTAAATAGAACTAAAAGTAGTTCATTTAATTAAAAGGCTTAGGTATGGGTGGATAAAAATGGAGAGGTTTATGGGCAAAATCAGAGATCTAGGATGTTGGTCCCAGTTCCTGGTAATTCCTGGAAAAGCCTATGGGCTTCTGGAATAGAACAGGCACTGAGACCTCCCAAGCCAAGGGCCAGCATAAGTCTGTCCAAGATGCCTTTAAGGGCCTGCCAGGTACCATGCTAAGCAGCTAATACACATTCTCATTTAATCCTCAAACTCCAAGAGGGAGACACTGTCAACCCATTTTACAGATGAAGCCCCGGAGGCGCAGAGATGATAACCTAGTATTTGGCCAAGATCACTTAGTATCTATACTCACAAATGGGAGAAGTCTGTTTTTGTTTTGAATCCAAATGATATGATTCCAAAGTCCTGAATTTCCTTCTATTGTTTGATCTGGAGAAGTATCCTACTTGTGTTATTTTTGTTGTTGTTGTTATTGTTGAGACAAGGTCTTACTCTTTCGCCCAGGATGGAGTGCAATGGTGTGATCTCTGCTCACTGCAACCTCTGCCTCCCAGGTTCAAGTGATTCTCCCACCTCAGCCTCCCAGATAGCTGGGACTACAGACACGTGCCACCACATCTGGCTAATTTTTGCTTTTAGTAGAGACAGGGTTTCACCTGTTGGCCAGGCTTTGTGTTTTTAGAAAGACCTAAAGAATCCATAAAGAACTCCTACAACTCACCAACAAAGACAACAAAAAAACCGATTAAAAAGCAAGCAAAGGATCTGCTAGACATTTCTCTAGAGATATACGAACGGCCAATAAGCACATGAAAAGATAATCAGCATCTTTAGCCATTAGGACAATGTAAATCAAAACCACAATGATAAACTTCGGATCAATCAGGGTGACTACAAGTAAAAAGATTCTATCAAGTGTCGAGGACATGAAGAAACAGGAACCCTCATATTGCTGGTGGGAATGTAAAATGGTGCAGCCACTTTGGAAAAGTTTGTCAGGTTCTCAAAAAATTGAACAGAGAATTACCACATGACCCAGCAAGTCCACTCCTGGGTAACTATTCAAAAGAAATTCAAACACATGTTCACACAAAGACTTTTCCACAACTATTCATATTAGTGTTGCTTATAATAGCCAAAAAGTGAGAATAATCCAGGTATCCATCAACTGATGAATTAATGAAGTGTGGTATATCTATACAATGGAATATTATTTGGTAATATAAAAGGAATGAAGTACTTATACATGCTATATAACCTGGATGAATCTCAAAAATGATGCTAAGGGAAAGAAGGCCACATATTACATGATTCCACTTCTCTGAAAAGTCCTGAATAGACAAATCTGTACAGACAGAAAGTAAATTAGTGGCTGTCTAGGATTGGGAGGTGGAGAGGGGAATGAGGAGTGACTCCTAATTGACGGGAGATTTCTTTTGAGGGCGATGGAGATGTTCTAAAATTAGATTGTTGTGATGGTTGTACTGTAAACACACCAAATACACTGAAAACACTTGAGGTGTACACTTAAAACAGGTGAATTTTATGGTGTGTGAATTATATCTCAATAAAGCCTTAAAAAAAAAAAGTCAACACACATTTTAAAGAATGGTCAGTATGAGCACGCATTTCTTTCACTTTCCCACCTCACAAACCACCACCCACACAAATGAAGCTGTCCACGGCGGCGATCATTCCGTTTCCATGACTTGCACATGGGGACTCAGTGTTGGTCAGCCCCTGCAGCACATTTAGTTTGCTAAACTAAAAGATTTCCGTTTAGTAAACTAAAATTTCATTTTTTAAACCAGAAAGTTTCTTTTGTTGTTGTTTTTTGGGGGGGTTTTTTGAGACGGAGTCTGACTCCGTTGCCCAGGCTGGAGTGCAGTGGGGCGATCTCGGCTCACCTTAACCTCTGCTTCCCAAGTTCAAGCTCTTCTGCTTCAGTCTCCAGAGTAGCTGGGATTACAGGCGTGCGCCACCACCCCCGGCTAATTTTTGGATTTTTAGTAGAGACGGAGTTTCGCTGAGCCACCGCGCGCAGCCTCAGAAAGTTCTTAAACAGCTTCAAAGGAAGGGGGAACGACAGAGGCGTCCTTTCCCATAAAGTGGCCACCGTTCCGCACACTGCGCTCCCCACCCGCACAGATCCCGACTAGGAGGTCAGCGCCCACCCGACTCGAGGGACCGAATGCCCCGAGGGAACAGCGCCCCCTTTCCATCGGGACGAGGGCGGCTTCCACCGCTGCCTGCACACGCCGCTGTCCCCCAACCCTAGCTCAGCAGTCCGGGACCTGGGGCCGGGAGTCCTACCTCGTCTCGCGTCCACCTGCGGTCGCCACGCCCAGCCTTCGCGCCTTCTCCCTCCGCGCTCCGCCTCCCGGGAGCCCGCGGGGCGGGGCTTGCCGGCAGCCAATCCCCGGCGGCCGCGGCAGGACGCGCCTGGTCCCCGCGGCGCCCAGGACCCTGTGCCCCTGAGAGTAACGGAACGGGGGCAGGAGCGGGTGACCGTTGTCCCTGCGTCCGACTCTTAGCGGGCAACCACTGCCCCACCACCAAAAATAACGTTTGCAGAAAAAGCGGAACGGAGTGGGTGGGCGAGGGGCGCCTGGCGCTGTGCGGGCCGAGGGGCGTGCTTCCTGGGGGCGGGCGGCGCACGTGGCACACTCCTGGGCGCGTGGGACGGCGGCGCCTGGCCGAGATGCGCTGGGTGCCGACGCGCGCAGTGGGCAGCGGTCGGGAGCTCTCCGCCCAGGCCGGTCCGCACGTGCGGCCGCCGCCCCCGGACCCGCCCCTGCCGTGGCGCCCACCCCGCGGGCCCTGGCTCTGGGCGGGAGATGGCGGGGCTGGGAGGCGCCAGCCGCGGAGGGGAGGGGCGCGCGGAGGGGATGGGCCGCCGCCGTCCGTCCACCGTCTGTCGCGGCGCCGGGGACACTCTCGCCGCCTCCGCTCGGTCCCCTCTGGTCCTGGGAGCGTGGGCCTGGCTGCAGGGGGCTTCCGTGGGCCTGGCCTCTCCCACCGCGGGAGGAAAGAGTGAGGGAATCCCCTGGAGCCCGCCGCCTCAGAGAGCCAAGGTGTCCTCGGGTCGGGCGGGCGCTGAAGACGAGCCCGGGCGGGGCCCTTGCGCGTCGTGCCTGTCGCCGGCCGTGTCCGGAGCGGAGGCCAGCGCCCGCCCGCTCGGCGCCCCAGGCCGCGAGGACCCCACCCTACCGGGCGTGGGCGACGGCCGGCCGGGGGCGCGCGGAGCAGCCGTCGCGGGGCCTCGCCGCGGCCTCCAGCGCCCGAGTCACGGGGAATGCAGTGGCCCCCGACCCCTGGCGCCTCTCCGTGTCTGGGCTGGGCCTCCTCGCTCGCCTGCTCCACCGCCGCGACGCTCCTGGTCCGAGCCGGCCGGGGCCCCCTCATGGCGGCCAAGTGGTTCAAGGAGTTCCCCCTGAACCTGAAGACCGTGTCAGAGCGGGCCAAGCCCGGGGGCGGCGGCGGCGGCAAACTGCGCAAGAACTCGGAGGCGGGCGGCGCGGGGCCGGGCCCCGGCAAGGGCCGCAAGAACTCGGCGGCCGAGCTGGGGAGCGGCAGGGCCGGCGTTGGCCCCAAGGACAGCCGGCTGTCCCGCGACAGCCTGCAGGGTCTGATTCAGGCCGCCACGGGCAAGAGCCGCAAAAACTCCCGGGCCACGGAGGAGGAGCCCCACCGGGGTGCGACCAAGAGCTCTGGCTGCAGCACCTACATCAACAGGCTCATCAAGGTGGACACTCAGGAGAAGAACGGGAAAAGCAACTACCCCAGCAGCAGCAGCAGCTCCAGCTCCAGCTCCAGCTCCTCTTCCTCCGCGTCCTCTTCCCCTTCCTCCCTGGGGCCCGAGCTGGACAAGGGCAGGATTATTAAACAGCAAGACACGGTAAGCATACAGCCTCCTTTGGACCCCTTCTCTGTGGGAGGGGAGCCCGGGGCACCTGCTAAGGCCTCGGCTTCTTTAGACCTAAGAGGGGGTGAGGTTTCCTAAGGTCCTTTCCCCTTCCATCGTTTGGGGACTCCTGAGTGACCATTTACAATTCTTAGACTTTTTTTAGTCTTGAAAAATTCTTCCAGAGGTGGGGAGCTTTGCAGAAATGTACTAGCCATTGAATTTTGTTAGCAGTTTAGAAGTGTCGTTGAATGAGATATTCCTGTTTGGTTAAATTTGACCCCTTTATAGATGTGGTTTATTTTAATTTTGATATTCAGGGGAACTGCAAAGCTAGACTTGTGTATGACTTTTATGCTTCTCGAGCATAAGAAATGGTAGCCTCTAAACTGTGTAAGTATGCATTTCAAAGCTTCAGGAAATGGGTTGGCCAACCCCGGTTCTCCACTGATTTGGAATCTCCATTCTCTGCAGTGCTACCTAGTAAAAGGCTACGTGGAGCTTCAGCAAATCTCCAAGACTACTGCCCTTTCATTCATTCCATAGGCATTTGTTTTGCAGCAGCCATATGGGAAAAGGGGAACGGGGCATTAAGGGCTGTGGGGACACAGAATATGACAAGGAAATGCACTCAAGGAAATTACAGATGAGAAGAGAAGGTGTTTCCTGCCGCGGACACACTGGAGGTTTTCTGAGTGCTGTCCAATGTGGAAAAGCTAAGAAAAGGAGTGTGAACGTAGGAAGGGACGCCCTCCATTCTTACTGAGATGAGTTGGTCTGTTTGATTTGCTTGTTTTTATCTTCTCTCCGGTGTGAAAGGGAGAGAAGAGCTCAGACTGAGATTTCAGACTCTGGTCCAGGCAATCACTTCCTAACATGGGAGCTTTAATTTTCTCTGCCCAGGCTCCAAACATGCTGTCTCCCTGGATGAAGTCAAGAGCCTGTAAGACATGCTATGTATGTCTGCATTGAGCACTTCTGTTCATTTCTTCATTCATTTTTTCATGCTTGAAATACAGCATGCCCACCCTGAGCCAGGCACTGAGTGGAGAGCAGTGTAAAGATGGACGGGGCCCAGCTCATATTCAGTGCCCCCCTGCCTGGGTGACTAGACCACAAGCACCTTGAAGCCCAGGGCTGAGTATGATCTTAGGTTCCTCTTTGTATTTTGCAGCTGCAGTACACATGGTGGGTAGTCAAGAAAAATGGATTGAGTAAGTGAATGGCAGACACAGCCCCTTGCCGTGGTTGTCTGGTCATGTTTATGGTTGTCACTTCTGGATGTATGAGGTTTCTGAGGCTTTTTCCAGGCTGTTTCCTCCTCTTCGCTTCTCCTCATTTATCTGAATTCTTCTTACCAACTCCAGCGTTACTTTTAAACTCTTTGGAGAATGTAATCAGAGGTTGTGGAGCTTCCTGCCTGAGAAGGGTACCTGACCTCTGGAGTTGTCACCTGTCACACACACACCACCTCCTCAGGCACCTTCTATTTTTGGAAAGACAGATGCTTTGTGACACAAAACAGGGGATCCCACATAGTGATCAAAACCCTGTCTGATCTGTAGCCTGTGACGATCAGTTTCCCTGTGATTATTGAACCTAGAACCCCTACAATACTGTTTAGCACTGACCTACTTCTCATCTATGAAGCCTGTCTCTTTGGAGCTGTGATCCACTCCTTGAGGGCAGGAAGCATGTCTTAGGTTTATTTTGACTCCCTCACAGTGCCTAGCCAGTGCTGGTGGATGCCTGACTGACTCATTATGACTGTGCTGCTCAGCTGATTGGAGTTTTAAAAACTCAATTCATAGGGTATGTGGTAAAGCCACATACCTTTTATGCTGTAAAGTCAGTTACCCTTTACTCCCCACATCCACCCCTGCCACCCTCTAACCCAGAAAATGTTTTACTTCTTGGGGAGAGAAAGGGAGGTAAAAAGAGCCTTGGGGATAAGTGAAAGAGTTTACGTGAATTGTTGCAAACCAAGTGTATACTACCAAAAAAATCAGATGTTTGTCTAACTGGGACCCATGATCAAGTGCAAAAGCTATCTGGAACCGATTAGAGATTCTGACCTCTTTGGAGATGCAGGAGATGTCAGTAGCCATTTTGATACCATTGCCATGTTGGTATATGGTGGTCCTTAGCAACTATCCCCTCTTGTTCTTTTATAGGTCATCATTTTAGAAGACTATGCTGACCCTTATGATGCCAAACGGACAAAGGGTCAAAGGGATGCAGAGAGAGTCGGAGAGAACGATGGTTACATGGAACCGTATGATGCACAGCAAATGATAACAGGTTTGTAAGCAGGTTCTGCATAATAGAGATGGAAATCTCACGCTCAGTGAGCGTGTAGCAACTGGAGTATATGGGGGAAGAGGGACAAAGCAATTTAACCAGATCCTGCTGACTTGGAAAAACAGAAATTAGACCCCAAACTAATGTCAGACTATAGGTAACTTCCTTTATGATTTAGTATCCTTCAGAGTTTTAGAATTTACAGGAGTCTTTAAAGTTTTTCTGGTTCTATGCAAGATGACATTTATGAGTACAGATCTGCTCAGAATTTGATGTTCAGTTTTAACACAAATATATACATTTCGGGGCCACTTTCAGAAGCTTTAACATTCATAATGGGAGCCGTATATCTTACCAAGGAACAAATACATACTTAAGGCATTTTGAGCTGTTAAAAAATGCAAGCATAGCCAGGCGCAGTGGCTCACTGCAATGCCTGTAATCCCAGCACTTTGGGAGACTGAGGTGGGCAGATCACATGAGGCCAGGAGTTTGAGACCAGCCTGGCCATCATAGCGAAACCCCATCTCTACTGAAAATACAAAAATTAGCTGGATGTGGTGGTTTGTGTCTGTAATACCAGCTATTCGGGAAGCTGAGGCACAAGAATCAATTGAACCGGGGAGGTGGAGGTTGCAACAAGTCAAGATCGCGCCACTGCCCTCCAGCCTGGGCAACAAAATGAAACCCTGTCTCAAAAAAAAAAAATGCAAACCTGATATGATCCTTTACTTTGTAGTAGAAGATTTTCTCAACAAGTTGTACAACATTGGAGCCAAAAATTTAATTACTAAGGAATAATTAACAATCATGGCCATAAACCAAGCCATTCAAGGCAAACCACCTAAAACAAAACTGGACTAATATTGTAACTTTTTAAGTCAGGACAATTCCGGTTTGTGAGCTAAGCAGTCACTCTGTCATTCTCAGTGTCAGACTTTTCCCTTTTATTCTTAATTCTCTGAAGTTGATGTAATGATACTTAAATAAAAATAATACAGTTATTTAGATTCGTGAACTTTTTATGTATTCACCTAGTTTTCCGTACACATTCTTCGATCCATAATGAAAAATGTAGTTGCTGAGTGCTGACTCAAGGAAGGCTTACTTGAGTACATGCCTGGGAAGAGAGTAACTGGTCCCACATTAAAGACTTTGTCTCTTCTGTTTAGAACAGATTGAAGAGCTCTCAGACTCAGGTTCTGCAAGTATAGTCTCAGAAGAGTGGAGCAGAGGGTAGTAGCAGCACACTGGAAGGGCCAAGACAGGCTTCAGAATGAAAACGAGCTGTAACAGGAAAGCCAGGCTCTGCTTCCTGCTTCTCTGCTTACAGAGATAAGGCGGCCGGTGTGGGGTGGGTGTACCCTGGCCAGGCTGTGACCCTGAAGGTCACTGGACTGTGACCCCTAATGAAATCTGTGAATGAAAGGAAGTGAAAATGAACTGTCAGAATTTTAAAAAACATCAGAGGCTTGAAAGGAATAGGGAAAAGGATTTACTTCTACATAAAATTGAAGGAAAGGATTTTCTTTAAA